GAAACTCCCCAAACCTGTTGTCCCTGTTGTGCCTCCTGACCCTGACCCTGAGGAGTTTGGCTCTGTCCTCTTTATGAGTCCCTTCCAAGTGGTTCTGGCTGGCATTAAATTCCCTTTAAGCCTCTGGTTCAGCCCAGATCCATCAGCCTCTTCCTGGAGCCCATGTGCAACTTGTCCAAGCATATTTTCCCTTAAAAAAGGAAGAGATCCACTCTTGGATCTTGCTGGCTTCTCCTGAAGAAGCAGTAGCCTCAGTTCTTGTAACACACAATCCAAAACTTTTTTTTTTTTAATAACAGAACAGCAATAGGATAAAACAGAAGTTTCCTGCATCAGAAGGAAGGAAATGTGAACAACTCAATGAAATCCACTTGTGGGTTTTGGAATAGATGGACACAGAAATGTACAATGTGTTACCAAGGGAGAGGGAACAAAGCCAGTCTGGAGAGAGAACTTCAGGCAAATCACAGATTCATGGAATGGTTTGGGTGGGAAGGGATCTTAAACTCATCCCATCCCACCCCTGCCATGGCAGGGACACTTCCACCATCCCAGGCTGCTCCAATCCCATCCAGCCTGGCCTTGGGCACTGCCAGAGATCCAGGGGCAGCCACAGCTGCTCTGGGCACCTGTGCCAGGGCCTCAGTTGGGAGCTGAGATCTGCCAACCCCACAGACTCTCAATTGCCAGCTCCCCCTGGGAATTGCTGCCTTAAAAATAGGAGAACTTCCTGATCTTGCTTAAGATCAAACTTCCAGACTATTTTTCATTTTAAAGCTCCCTTGTGCCTCCAAACTTTGGTTTAATGCAAACCAAGCTACTTTCTCACGTGAGAAGGTCCAGAGGGAAGAGGTAAGAACAAGACAGGATGCCTGGAACCAAATCTCTGCCTTCCTCTGGAGATCTGGTCTGGTAAATACATTGATCCCAAAAAACCTTTAATTGATCCCAAAAAACCCTTTAACCCAGCCCAGAGCAGCTGTGGCTGCCCCTGGATCCCTGGCAGTGTCCAAGGCCAGGTTGGACAGGGCTTGGAGCACCCTGGGACAGTGGGAGGTGTCCCTGCCATGGTTTGGGTTTGGAACTGGGTGAGTTTTGGGATCCCTTCAACCCAAACCATTCTGGGATTCTACAGAGAAGTTTTTCATTTCCTTCCATGCCAACAAGAGCCTTGGGGGTTTCCAGAGAGCTTTTGTGGGTCCTGTAGGATTGTCTCTTCCCTCAGGGCACATTCCAGTCCAGAATGGCATCCTCAGCCTCAGGGGGTAACTCAGGCACAGGGAGATGAAATTTGGGATGTCTTCTCCACCCACTTCCTGAGGGTGCTGGAGCTGAGGTGCAGAACAGCCTGAGGGAGCAGGAACCTGGAGCCAGCTGTTCTGGCATCAAACCAGGCTGGAGTCAGGAGAACCACACTGTTCCTCTTACCAACCTGCAGATTTATCAAATTACAGATTTCTAATTCCCAACCATTTTCCCATGGCAGAATTCCTGCTCTAACCCCGAGCAGCAGTGAGTGGGGTCACTGTCATTTCTGGTGAACTGAAACACAGCAATGAGATGTCCTGCTAAAAACATCCTGGAGGTTTTCCAACCCTCAGCATCAGGACTATGTTAAGAAACACTTTGTGGGGTCTGAGCTAAAAGAGGCTTGGTGGAAAAATCCTAAATACAATTTTCTAGGAAGAGGTGAATGCATTATGACGTTTTTCTGGAAACTCAGAGAACTTTTAGGAGAGAAATTTGGCTTTGTTGCAGAAACTGGAAGCATCTTAAGAAGGAAAACTGTCCTAAACCCTCAGGATTATTTAAAAATATTGAAATATTTTAAAATATTTTAAAATATCCCTGAGCTCTGGCAGCATCAGTGAGGAAGGCAGGAGAGATGCTGTGCTGGAGAGCACACCCAGAAGATTCCTCCTTCCAGAGGGATAAAAAGTGAGGCTCAGATCCTGCTTCTCAAAACNAGCTCCCTCAGGGATTCTGCAGCCCCTGCCCGGCTCCCTCAGCCTCTCCTGGTGCTCCAGACCCTTCCCCATCTCCATTCCTTTCCCTGAACACACTCATACACCATGCCAGTCCTGCCTTCCAAATAATTCTAAGTTCAGATGATTATTCCTGATTTTTCCTCTTCCCTATGGCATTGATGGTTTGTCTTGTCCTGGTTTTCTAAGACCTCTAGCACAGAGGTCCTTGCTGTTGCTGGGTTTAGTAGCACCTAAAACCACAGGGAGGATTTTGTGCTCCTCTTTCACCTTTCCTCCCCCTCAGCAGTGACCACAGGGCTGGACAGTCCTTTGCTGAGTTACTCAGTTCCTGAAGTTCTGCTTGTTCAGTCATCAATGCAGTGCTGCAGGTTGGGATGGGAGGGACCATCCTGTACCAGATGTTTTCCAGGCCAGATGGGGCTCCTTCAGAGCACATGGTAGATAATTCCCTGAGCTAATATCCAAATATTAAAATTCATCTTTGAAAAAGCTTCAAGCAGCCTCACAACTCGATTTTAGCAGGACATCAAAGCCCCATTTCCATGGAATTATTTTCCAGAGTTGGGCAAGACGCAAGATGATGTGGTAAGAGATGATGAGAACCAGCTCGACTGGCTCGGAGGTGTGAAGCAAATCTGAGGGCAGGCTTTCAGTTTGAGATCTTCTTGCAGACTCTGGGAATGACACAAACCATTTCTGCTCTTGTGGAGTGTTTGTACAATTATTGTCTGAGTGGATTTTGCAGGCCCTTCACTTCCTGCTGTTTCTGCACAAGAGTTTGACACAAGGCACAACAGCAAACTCCTGATGTGAGCTGCAGAGCAGAACCTCAAATGAAGGTCGCAGGAAATGGTCCTGTGGGAGGCCAAGGGTTCAGGGATAAGGAGCAGGAATTCCTGCTGAGGTCACCCCTGCCTTCACCCCATCTACAAAAACCCTCATGGAATCCCAGAAGGGTTTGAGTTGGGAGGTATTGAAGATGGAGGGAGAGACCCACCTTTGTTGATCAGCATCTGACTTCCTTTATAGACTCAATCAATCACTTTTTATAACCGTGTTAATCAAGTTCATGCATATTGCAAACCCGAGCTCACCATAGGTCAGAGATAACACACCAACCCCTCCTTTTGTTTCCAATACCAAGATTTGGGTTCTCAAAATTATTTTTGTTTTCCCAAAACAGCCAAAGATAGAATATCTACTTGTTATGAGAAAGCTGCCTGAGAACTCTGGTATGCAAGGTTCTCAAGGCCTTCATGTTTGTCACTTTTACTTGTAATTAAAAACAACCTGAGAACTTCTGTTGTTTACAAAAACCGGCTGTGAGAATTTTACTCCTCACAGCTGCCTTCTAAGCCATTTCTGAAAAATCTCCAACAGGGAGGGACCTTAAATCTCCATCTCATTCCACCCCTACCATGGGCAGGGACACCTTCCACTGTCCCAGGGAGCTCCAAGGCCTGTCCAGCCTGGCCTGGAGCCCTCCCAGGGGTCAGGGGCTCCACAGCTCCTCTGCACAGCATTTGTGCAACACTCAGCTGGGCTCAGTTCTCAGGAACTTGTTTCAATATTTGCTCAGCCCTCCCCTCCTTGGCATGGGCTGCTGCTTGACCCTGCTCAGTGCTCCCACTGCCCCTCAGAGCACCCCTGAGGTGTTGTTGGATTTTATTGTTTCTCTCTCTCTGGTGATTTCCAGGCCAAACTTGGTTGGGTTTTTCCTCAGAAGGAAAATTTTTTAAACTGCTCCAGATTCTCATTTGTTTAAACCTTTCCAAAAACGTTTCCCAGGCTGGCTTCAGCAAGTCTGGCAAGTTCTTCTTCTGCTGGGCTCTGCAGAGGTTTCACCAGGACAGAAGAACTTAATTTCCTTCCCATGGGCTGCAGATGCTGTTGAGTGTCCATCCCTTTCCTGCATCCTGCTTCTCCTCATGGATTGCTGCTGTCCTCACACTTTGCCCTTCAAATTGCTTTCTGCCCCTCTAGGNTTTCTGAAAGGTGTCAAAAGATGGGAGAGGGACTGGGTGTGAGACAAAGAGCAAAGAAGCAAAGCTCAATGCTGGGCTGAGGTAAGGCAGTGCCTCTGGCAGGGAGAAGGGCAGGGTGGGAGCTCAGTGAGGCTGCTCAAGATGAGTTCAGCCCTGCAGGGACCTGACCCAGCTTGTGAGGCAGCTGCAATGGGCTGCTGGCAGATGCCAGGGAACACAGATGTCCCAGATTACCTGAACTGTCCCACTGGTGATTTCAGGTGCAGGATCAGACCTGAGCATCCCCTGAGGGCTTCCCCTGGCCTGCTGAGAGATGTGCACTTGGGTGGCTCTGGGAGGTGCCAGCACTTTGTCATTTCCCTCAGCTCCTGATCAACTTTCCATTTTCTCTCCAGTGCCTTTGTCTGAGCTGGTGCCAGCACTGGTTTTAAGCTGACAAGGTCTCATTTCTGAGAAATTCATGTTGCTTTTTTGCTTTTTTCCATGGGTGGCCAGTCCCTGTACACTTGGGAACATTTCTCCTGGCTGAGCTCCATGAGATAAAGGATTTTTTGAGCTGGTTTCCCAGGCTGTGATGGGCTCCTTGGACCCAGCCTGACCCCTCTAATGAGGGGATATCCAAGTACTTCCCTGCTCTCCTTTCCTGTTTGTCCACTGGGATTTTTCCTGCAGTGCTGGATCTGAGTGAAGTTCCTGGGAGATGGGACTGGTGTTCACTTTCACCCCAGGATCCCTCCTAGCCACATTTACTTACATAGCCAATTTCCCTTACATTTACAAGGAAACATCATCCTAGAGTGAGAATCAATCAATTAATCAATTCTAGAGTGAGAAAAACTCAAGCACAGGAGAAATGGGGACAAAGAAACATTACCCAGACATTCCCCTGTTTGGCAGCTTCAGGGATCTGTGACACATCCCAAAAATAAGGAGTTGGGGGATGGTTCCCATCAACCTTGAGTCTGATCTGCAGACAGAATAAGCAGGGGGGGATGTTGTGCTGCCACTGATTTATTGTTTTCCTCAGGGAATGCCAATCCAATACCTGGTCTTGGAAGACACTGATGAAGTTATAACCCTGGTGGAAGATAAGAACAAGGTGAAACCAATCCAGGAGGATGAGCAGGAGGAGGAGGAGGAAGATGAGGATGAGCAAGAGAATAACAATCAAGGTGTGCAATTAATCAAGTGAAAAGCTGATTGTTATCAGACAGAAGGTGCAATCAGCATCAGACATGGCAGAGCATTAGAGAACACTTGCAAACCATCATAATCACTTCATGGTGGCCACAAAGTGGCTCTTTCATTCCCTGAGGTCACTGGGATGTGACAGACAGGTGTGATTTTTAGTGGAAACACCAGAGAGAAAAATCAGAGTTGTTGTGTGAGGGACAGGAATGTGTTTGGATGCTCCAGAGGCTGGTGGGGGTTAAAGTGCACCCAGCACTGTGTCCTCTGAAAATCATCCACCCCTTTGGAAGGGTTTGAGACACATTTTTGTAAGAGCAGATCCAGACTTGCTTCCTCCAGGGAGAAAACTCTTGATTCCTGCAATGCAGAATTGAAAATGAATTTGTTCTCTGTGGGGGTGTTTTCTTAAACAAAAAGAGGGGCAGGATCCTAGAGGAGCTTAGAGTATTGTTCCACTCAAGGGCAGAGCTGGTGTGAGGTGGGATTGGGGCATTTTGGGGGGTTTGTTTGTGTGGCTGTGCCTCCTCTCCCCATACAAGATTTCACTCACCCCACATCTCTGCTGAGAGGTTCTGGATTACAAAATCATGCACTGGGGTGGCCCAGGGGGCTGCAGTTCTCCCTGCCCTGAACACACCTGTGGGTTTTTTGGGTTTTTTTTTTTTTGCAGATATTCAGGATGACCAGGTGGTGGAAGCAGTTTCCAGGGACAAGAAGAGAGAGCTGCCCCTGGAGCAGATCCTTGTCCTGACAGAGGAGAACTTCCACTCTTCCCTCCCAGAGGCTGCCAGGACAGTGGTGCTGTTCTATGCCAGCTGTGAGTATCAACTGTGGCCTGGCTGTCCCTTCTGTGACTTTGGGATGTTCTCTGTGCTTTCCATGATCCTGGAGAGATCCTGGAGAAAAGTTTTGACCATTAATCTGTGCCACATCCTGTCCCATGAGCAGGGGTTAAATACGATTAATTAAATACAATTAATAACAGATTGAATCAGTTCTTCTCATTGGCTGATAATAGCAGATATTATTCTGATATGAAGAGATTTTTAACCTTTGTTTTATAAGAAAAAAAATGTGGGACAAGAAGGGAAATTAAAGCAGCATGGACTCATGGGCTGGCCTAGACATGAAGCATGAAGTTAAATTTTCCTTATTTATTTCAAATCCTCCAGAGCTTAAAGCACCTCAGGATGCAGAGATTGATAATGTGGGGTTGTCAGGGAGCAGGGTGGGGCTGGCTGTCCCCTGGCTGTCCCTCAGGGCTGTGTCCCCTCTCTGTGTTTCAGGGGAAGCTGTGTCCCTGGCCGTGCTGCGCTCTTACTGCGAGGTGGCCGCTCACCTGCAGGGTAAGGAACCCCAGGGCTTCCCCTGCTCCTCTGGGCACCAGGAAACAAGGCATTGGTGGCACCTCATTCACTGGAATACACTCATTTTTCACCCCTCAGACTCCTAAGGAAAGCCATATCCACAGCAGGTGGTTTAGGAACCTTTGTGTCTGATTTAGGGATCTTTGCAGAGTCTCTGCTCCCAGAGAAATAAAAACCACAAAACAGGAGGAAATGGCCTCAAGATGCAGCAGGAGAGGTTTAGGAGGGATATTAGGGAAAGTTTCTTCATGGAAAGGATTGTCCAGCCCTGGCACAGCTGCCCATGTGTTCTCATCCCTGAAGGGATTTAAAAGCCACATGGATGTGGCACTTGGGGACATGGGACAGTGCTGGGGGAACAGTTGGACTCAGTGATCTTGGAGCTAAACTATTCCATGATTTTATGATCCTGGAAACATTCAGGGCCAGGTAGGAATGGGGCTTGAAGCAACCTGGCTTTGTGGAAAATGTCCCTGTCCCTTCCAATCCAAATGATTCTGTGATCCCCTTTGCTGGGCACAGTGACTGCATGAGGGAGAATTTGGGAAGGGCCAGGGGGTGACACAGAGCAGCAAACAGCAGGAACATGGAAATAGGGCCTGGAACATGGAAATGGGGTCCTGTCCTGCCCAGGAGACACATCAATGTGCTGGGTGGCACCTCGGCTCTGCTGGAAAAAGGAGCTGTGATTTTCCCTGGCTTTGGAGGAAAATGGGACAGACAGGTGTGGGCAGGCCAGGACAGGGCAGGACAATGTCACATTTGCAGGGATGGTGCCTCCAGGGTTTGCAGTCTGGCTCAGTGTCAGAGAAAATGCAGGCCTTTATCAGGGATCAGCCATTTGTCGGTGAGGGGAGACTCAGGCACTCAATATGAGTGATAAGCAAATTCTGTTTATTGAAGAGAGCATCAGACACTTATACAGCAAATAATAAGCTTATGAATATTCTGTAAGCTAAGCAATCTATTGGTTAAACTATACTATCAACTCTTCCTCATTCTTTAGGGGTTACATCTCTCTTTTCTCATGTCTCTTTCATTGTTTGTTATCCTACTACAGGTAGGCCCAAGGACACTGCTATCTGTGCAGGTGCAGGACTTGGAATTAGCTATGGTTTTGTACTTTTCTATTTTCTAGCAGCTAAATTCCCAACAGCTCAGTTGTGGGAGTTCTCACAGGTGGCCCCAGAACTCCATAAATAACACAGGGATGGTGAACAATCAGCAGCACTTAGAGACAGCACATCAGGGAATCTGGGAACAAAAATCTGGCAGGAAGGGGGGATCCTTCAGCAGGGTCTGTGCAGTGTGGGCCCCACATTCAGGCCTCCAAACCCTTCCCACTCTGGTTTGTGGAGAGAGCTGAGTTCTTACATGGGATTCATCTCATCCAGAGGTGCCCCTTGGCTGCAGGGGACACTGAGGTGGCTTCATCCCACTGTGGCACAGTGGGGAACTCACATGGACCTGGCCAAGAGCCATTCCAGCACCTCTGGAGGTGGCTGGTGCCTTCTCCTGGTTTTTTTCTCCATCAAGGCTCATTTTTCCTGATGCTGGCAGCTCCCTGAGACTGGGCACTGTGTCCTGCAGGATGCAGCAGTGGGATCATGAATGGAGTGTGCAGAGGACCCCACAGATTTCTGGGAAGCAGCTGCAGTGGGAATTGCTTACAAAAGCTGTTCCTGGGAATGCTGCAGGCAGTGCTGAGGGCTGGATTCATGGTCTGCATGAATTCATGAAGGGAAAGTCAGCAGCAGCTTTGATCTGGACTGAAATCCCAGGAATAAACAGGAAGGGACAGCAGAGGTTGTTGTTGTGGGGTTGGTGGTGGTTTGGGGTTTCTTTTGGACTTTCCCAGCAGCCAGACCAGCT